CGCGTTTGCTCATGGTTGGCGTATCCTGCTTCTTATGCTTTGCCACAAGCTTCACCCAACTCCCAGATGTAGGCCCCCACAAGGAAATCATTTCTTCTGGGTTCAGAAGTCGCTCCTTGCTCTCAACCTCTAGCGCTAGCTCTATCACAGTGAGTCCTGTTTATTTGCTAAACTGATTTGAAGAAAGCTTTCTTTTTTTGTATGTGTGTGTAAAGTAGCATCTCCCCCTCTGTTTCTTCAGCCTTTTACCACTAAAGAGATTATTGGTTTCTGCATTGGGTCAGTGTCATCAGTCCTCTACCTCTGTTCCAGAGGTCCACAGATATACACTAATGTGAGTATGACAAAGTACGGTCTGGTATAAATGTGTAAAGGATTCAGCCCGACATCCTGCAAAGTGTAGGCAGTAGTCAGTAATCCAATGTTATAAAGACAGAAAAATTACCTTAATTTGTCTCAAGGTTATTTAAGTCCTAGTGGCAAGCAAGAGTAGTATTTCCATGACCACGTACTGCTCCAAGTTTTAAATTATCTTTTAAATAAAGAATATTATCCAGTTAACTTCAATATGTAAGCTAAAGCATGCTCGCAAATGTTCACTAAAGTGAAAGAAGAAATTTGCTGTACCTGAACAAGAGAAAATGCAAGTGAAACAGCCCGTTTCCCTTGCTAAAAACGAAACTAAAAAGTGCTATACTACTACTGCTTAGTCTCTTACCTGATGTCAGCCTGATTCAGTTGCATTTTAGTTGGTAAACCCACATAGTTTTGCTCACCCACTTAAACTGAAACTGTAACTTGCATGTTTTGGTAGATGGCTCAAAAACTAAAAAGAAAATCTATAAGTGTTTCGACTTTATCCATCTAACCGTGTACTTATTGACTGTTGAAATGTCATCCATTCCTTTGTAAATAAAAATGAATAAATAAACACAACATTTTCCTCACTTCCTTTTTCTGTTGTCTCATTTTCCCCCACAGTTCAAGAGGAAGTCGACACAGGGAGTTTCTTACTTCCTGTTCGCGCTGGTCATCCTGGGAAACACTACATATGGCCTAAGCGTCCTTTTGAAGAACCCTGACCTGGGCCAGGATGAGAGCAGCTACATGATCCACCACGTGCCCTGGCTCATCGGCAGCCTCGGCACCCTCAGTTTAGACCTCATTGTATCCTTTTAAGAGAAGCGAAAACATGGACGGGGAGGCTGGGCCTCAGGCTTCTGCTGCATGTATGTGGCACATTTTTATGAAATTCCGAACGGAAGGGCAGCAATCCCTAATCTCTTTAGTGGGGATTAGTTGATTGTGTATTGAACACAATATGGCATATTAATAGTTGCAGGGAAACAGGTTCATGGTTAGGAAAGAAACAAGTCAGTTAAAGCTGCCTCAGTGAAGCCTGTAGGCTACTTCTTTCTTTGCACTGCATTGAAATGAAGCCACAAGCGGTTTTGTTTTTAGCTAACAGTGACAGTGCAGAAGGGAGCAGCCTGATGATGACTGACATTTAGCAAACATACACCATGATCAGTGTGGTTCCCTAATTGTGGGTACTGCGTGTAAATATTTATCTTTGGGTACATCTCTGCTGTCACTGTCTTATGCAGTTTATTTAAAGCTAGCCTGTAATCAGCACTGGGACATGGGAAGATATAGTGGACGTGTTTTTGTGAACGCCGGTTGATCGCTTCAGCCCAGTTTGGAGTCAGTGTTTGCTGAATGGTAGACTGTATTTTTTGTACTATGAATTATGGTGTTTGTCTTTCATTACTTTGCGGTCAAATATTTTACTGAAATGAGTAATTAAGGCAGCAGCTGGAGTCTGTACTCTTGTGAGTGAAATCCTCTGGTACTGTTTGCTTTTGCATTTAAAAACAAACAATCAAAACCGAAACATTTTTATGTTCTTTAACGCTGTGATCCAGATCTCTGTCCAGTTCCTAATGTACCGTAACGCTCAGCCACGGGTGGAAGTCAACCACGATGAGACAGCACCTCTTATCGGGAGCTAAACCAGAACACCCAGAGCTCATCGGTGGCGATCGACCGAATGCTCGCTGTCAGTCGGATCCTTACAATCATCTTTCTGACGCCATCAGGATCTTAACTGGAGACTTGGTGTTATAGATGTATTTATTATGCTGTCAGCCTCTTTAATGTTTACAATCAAGTTTTGTATGTGATTAGTACAGCAGCAATTGAAGTTCTTTACTTTTAGCGTTAAAGGGACAGTTAAAGGTTTCAGGTGTCAGACGTGGATGAAAATATCCCGCTGTCATCCTGAGACTGAAGTCTCCAAGCTCAGACTTGAAATTTCTAGTAAAAACATCTCAAAAAACATCTCGGCTGCATGTGAGCAAGCAAGGGACTGAAACCCATCTCCTATCAAGCAGGCTTGGTGGACCCGTAGCAAAGAAAAGAAAAGGTGATCAGCCTGTATTTGCTTTGATTACCATTATGACAATTTTACTGTTTAACCAGTTTTATTATAACAGGGGGGGGGGGACATTATTCAACTTCCTGTAATTGGCTTCCCAACAACAGCAGGGACGCTTGTTTTACTCATTAATGGCCTTTTGTGAGCCTTTGTGTGCCCCGGTGCTTTCATAACGATACCGTGGAAAGAACTTCAGTCACTTTTAATTTTTAAAACGTGATAAATCTAAGGATTATAACAAGCCCAGATGTCTTTTGTCAGCAGGAGCCACTCGTTTACTAAGAAGTTAGGTGAACATGGCCCCTGAGCTCTCAATATGATGCCAACGCTCATGTGATATTATAAACTTGCTGCCTGGAGTGATGATATCGCTGAGAGGTTTCTTTTTTATTCTGGTGCTTTAAGTTGCCAAACCATTTGTCAGCTAGCTAACCACTGCATGAAACCCTGATCTCTGTAAATGATACCTCCTGTAACTTGAATCCGGTGTTCTCCGGGGAGGGTACACATGACTAGTGATGTGTCTAACTGAACAAAAAAGTCATTTGTATTTGGTCAGTTTTAATTGATGGTCGCACCAAGTGCCATGCTTATTTGTTTGTCTGGATCAGTTTTTATTGCACTCTTGATGAAGTCACATCGCTTAGCACAGATTTTCAGTACCTTCATGTTTTACATTTTCATCTTCAGTGTTTTGCACAAAAGTATGTACCTGCGGGTCTGGTAAATGTTCACCTTGGGATAGAGTACTGTACAGATTAAACTCATCCAGACCATATTTTCTCTGCTGCTTTCACTTTGAGGAAAGTCTCTTTTTTTTTTTATTGAGTCATTTAGGATGAGAAAGGAGAAAAAAACTCTCTGGGGTTCTCCGTCTCTAACAGTTTACTTCCTTCACAACGCACATTTTTTTTCTTTCTTTTTTTTCCACCCAGTAGAGGGCAAGGTCTGCACTTGGCTTTAATTATGACCTTTCGGCCTTTGCCTCTGCTGACCTGAACCCCCAGTGCGACCGCGTTTGACCTGCTTCTGGGAGGCCTCGACAGCTTTGTTGTTTTTCTTCATTAGCAGATTCACACTGGCCCCTGAGTTGCACACCCACGCGTACCCACACATTTTCTCTTACTATTAAACATATATAATCCACTGAAAACACTAAGGGCCCACCCACAGAGGAAGTAAGGTCAGAACAAAACATATCAAGGGTTCAGTAAGTGAGTGTGTGTGTGTGTGTGTGTGGTTGGGGGGGTGAATAGTGTGTGATTGTGAAACAGTGGCAGAGAGATTGTTAAACATGTTGGGGAGTTAGCAGGAAGAGTCAGTGATAGGGCGCATCCATCCATCACCAGACACAAACAAGAGGCTGTTTATAAACACGACATACTGGGAATTTCTTAATGAGATGATTCCAGTTCGTATGAGCAGGGAAGACAAGTGGGGAGGGAGCTTTGTGGCTTTTTGTTGCCAGTTTAAGTCCCGAGTGCAACCAAAAAAAAGGCCACTTTTGGGAAATGTTAAGCAAAGTTTGTTTTTTTTTCCATCTGTCACACTACAATAACTAAAACATTAGGTTTAAATTGAAACGTTGCCCCTTTTTAAAAATGCATATATTTATCTTGGTGTTCCTCGAAGAAAAAAATAAAGCTTATGAATCCTGCTTGACACTAAAGATTTTTGATCAGCAAAGGTTCTGTTTACTCTGTGTGTGTGTGTGTGTGTGTGTGTGAGGGAGAGAGAGAGAGACTGGGCTGCTGTCAACATTACAAATGGGAAAAGCTGGACAAAGTGACAGGACAGTGAAACAGTTGGCACAGCAGGAAAACTCAACTCAACCTCTAAGTATCCGCAAAAGTAACCAAACTAAACCCTAACAAAGAGCTTCCCAACTAGAGCGGTGTTTTTATGTAGCAAATCTAGATTTTATACCTCATTGTTTCATTAGAGCCAATATGGATTTTGTGGGTTCGTGTAAAAGAGGAAACCCGAACAATGAAATAAGTGATCAAATGTGGATGCTGTCGTGCACTAAATTGTCTTTTGGGTCTTGTAAAAATCTGGAAACAAAAGGAAAAACATTTTTTCCAAGTGTAGGGCTACGAGTTGCTGCAACAGATTATTGCTCATTGCCTGTATCCGGCAACACATTTCACTGTGAATAAGGATCACTGTGCTATTATGATAGCTATATTTTAAAGTGCTGCATGAAAAGGTGAGCTATCATGTGCAATTCTAGCTGTGCATTTTTATTCTTGGGCTAAAGTGGTTTTG